TGAATTCAATTGTATTTCTTTAGGTGGTCATTTTATAGATGTTAAGATGCTTATCATGTGTGATTGAAGGCTACTTAAAGACAGGTTATGTAATTACAGCTTAAATTAGGCTTGAAGTATAAATGGAATACTCTTCCCCTGGTAGTGAGAGGAGATAGCTATATTAACGTTGCCTCAGGCTTTAAAACAAAGTTGGCAATTCAAATAAGTGAGAAATGATATTTTTCTATACTCAAATAAGAACTTTTTTACAAAGTGGATTATTATCATTGTGAAATGTATAGACATGTTCCAAATATGCATGTTTTACAATAATTGAGTCAAATACCAGTTTTTAAATATTTAATTAAAATTAAAAATTCAGTTTCTCAGTCTCAATCACTTTATTCTACTAAAAGATAACAAAATTTACCATCTTAATTTTAAGTTGTGCAGTTTAGTTACATTAAGAGTGTTCAAGTTGTTTTGCAACTCATCATCTCTAAAACTTTATAATGCAGTAATTCCCATTCCTTTCTACCTATATAGCCTCCGGCAAACATTTTTCTGCTTTCTGTCTCTCAACATTTTACTATTCTAATCTCCTTCTATAAATCACATCATTATATCTGCCCTTTGTTGTGTTGTATTTTACACAGCATATTTTGTTTTCAAGATTCATCCATGTTCTATCAGAATTTTCTTTTAAAGCTGAATAATACACCCATTGTATGGATATGCCATGTTTTGCTTATTCATCCTTCAGTGGACATTTAGGTTACTTTTAACCTGTACGATATTGTGAATGATGCTGTGTGAAAATAAGCGTTCAAATATCTGTTCAGCTCCTTGCTTTCAGTTCTTTGGTGCATATACCCAGAAGTGGAAGGATGAGTTGGAGCAAGGAAAGAGTAAAAACAGACTAGCTAGGAAGCCACAACAGTAACCCAGGCCTGACTGCTCATATTATGGTAGATCCCAGAGACATTACAAAAGAAAAACACAGTATTTAATGGTTTGGCTATAGGGGAAACAAGAAACTAAGGTGACTGAGTTTCTAATCATTTTATAACAAGTGAATGATTAACAGAAAATGGACATTAATTCTCCTGGAAAGAAGATTTTTATTTTAACAAATACATTAAATCTCGTATTTGCCAACATTCCAACGACCTCCCTGTTTGTCATCCTATCTACCCAAAAATGTCCCACAAAGGCAGGGACCTTTGGTTTTGTTCATTAATGTATCTCAAGTTTCATGAACAGAGATTAGCACATGGTGTTTATTAAATGCATGACTGAATGATTGGATAAGACTGGGATCTACCAAGTGATTGAAAAAGCAGCAACTACATGAGGTAGCATCAGCCCATGGCAGATGAGTCTGAGGCACAAAGTTGTAAATGGGTAGCTTAATTATGGAAGTGGTAGAGCTAGCACTGGAACCCAGGTAAGCTGATGCTGGAGCCTGCCCACCCTTGTGCTCTCACCACATATCTCATGTGGTGAAGAAGTGAAATGAAAAAACAAGAGGAAGAATGGAAATCAGATGCCCAAAGTGGTAGCTCTGGAAGTAGATGTTGAGAATAAGAATCCTAATGATAAACTGAAGACAGCTTATCTTTCCCAGGATTATCCCTCCTTGATGAGTATGGTGTTGCTGCTAAAGGGTTAGTGAGTTTTTGTAGCATCTTGGCAAATCTTTTATCATTGCTATTTAATTAGGACAATACAAGGAAATAACAGGTCATTCGTTGTCCAGATGTGTTGTACATAGGAAACCCAGTTTTAACAAGATGTCTCACTTTTTATGAAATTCAGCCTTGGAGTATTGAAAGTATTGTTAAAGAAAAGAAAGTTGTTGTGTTTTATAGCCCTAAACAGCAGCCTCAGAGTGTCTCTTGAATGACTATATCTATTAGAATAGAGCAGAATTTTGAGATATCTTGTGGATCCCCAATAGCTGAGTGGAAATGCATGCATGTTATATCTGAAGTGGCCCACATTATCATCTGCCTACTGAAAGCAATAAATTGCCAGATATATATTTGGGGAGTTACATCAAAAGCCTTTAAAGAGGTTATTCTGATAATTACACTTTCAAGAGATAATACTGGAAAACTGTTGCACCTGTTATATGTTTTATAGGCACATCTACTTACTCTTCTACCAGCAAGTGGCCTTTTTATTGTAACAGTTATGGCTTATACTTGAATTTGCTGACTGCTAACCACTGAAATATCTCAATAAACTAGTTTTATAAAAACAAATAATATCTCTGATTTAATGTAAATACTAAGTTTGTCAGACTAAAATACTATCCACCTCAATGTCACACTGTTTAGCAAGAAGAAAATGAACTGTGAATGCTCTAGAAAGAAACAAAATTTCTAGTTTCTTTAATTTGAATTTGTTAGTTTAAAAATAAATAAATAAATAAAAGTCTGATGAACCTCCAGGAAAAACAAGGACAACAGTGGGAATTGACTTGTACATGGACATTTAATTGCCCCTTCAGATCCTGATTTCTTCATTTGTGTCAAGTGAGTATTCACCAATTAAGCCCCTACTTATAAACACTTTTCTTTTTTTATTTTTTTGAATTTTTTGCGTACATGACAATAGTGGAATGGGTTACATTCATTATTACCCATTTACAGCACAATTTTTCATAACTGTATAAAGTATGTTCACACCAAATTATGCCATTATACATGTACTCTTTTTTTGCATTACAATTCTTAATACACATATATACCACAATTTATCATATCTCTGTTTGTATATAAGGTATGTTGACACCAAATTCAAATCTTCATACATGTATTTTGTGTAATGACCATCACCTTCCACTAAGTGAAGTTAGCCAATCCCCAAAAAACAAATGCCAAATGTTTTCCCTGATATAGGGGGCGGGGGGGGGGGGGGGGACTCCAAAGTAGAGTAGGGAAGGAGAGCATGAGAGGAAGATTATTTCTAGATAGGGAAGAAAGGTGGGAGGGGGAAGGGGAATAACATTTTTCTTTTTTTTTTTTAATGTTTTTAGTTGTAAACACAGTATCTTTATTTTATTTATTTTTATGTGGTGCTGAGGATTGAATCCAATGCTTCACTTGTGCTTGGAGCCACAACCCCAGCCCCAACATTTTTCTTCAAATAGGCTCACTTTTTAGAAAAATC